AGGTTGCGAAACAAGCCTTCTCAACATCAACTTCAAGTGTCTGGACAGGATATCAGTGGCAGAATCGCTCTTAAATAGCAGGTGCATAAACAGCTCTATCTAGGAGCAATGATCTTAGGTGGCTTGCATTCGTGTTCCCTCAGACGCTTGGAGTTAAATTTGTTCGAATAGCCCTTTTCTCTCAGGACATCGCTGATTCGCTGCAATTCTTCATTGACGGTCTCCGGCGTGCAAATGCTGAGCGCACTGAAGCGAGGGAGCGGACCATATTTCTCTTCTACTGTAATGACATTGTGTTATAGAAGTTTCTGTCCATATATGATATATGCTTTATGTGCACTTTTCTGCTGAGGGATCCGTCTGCGTTACGGACAACGTCGACAGATAGTATTCGGTTTCCAAACTCATGCTCGCAAGAAAAGTGGCGATTCTCGAATGCATCATTAAAGGCCTCCAATAATTGCGCCGCATGCTTTTCCGATTTGCAGAGTACGAAAGTGTCGTCAATATAAGATACATACATTTCGGTCTCTCCAAAGTGCGTTCTAAGTGGACCATGTTCCAATGTTGACATGGGCCCCAAAGGAGATCCCATGGCTGCTCCATCAATCTGAAGGTATATTTCACCATTGAATGTGAACTGAACATTTAGCGTGCGTCGAAGTAGTACCTCTATGAGAAATCTTTTCGGAATGGTTGCGTAAAGGAGCAGTTGCTGTACCAGTTCGCATACGTACTCCACAGTTTTGAGCAGCAGAATGTCTGTAAATAGCGACCAGGCGTCAAATAACCTCATCATTGTGGCTACCTTACAAATGAATCCAAAGGTATCACACACGCAGTAAGTGTAAACCATGTTCCGTAACGATTGCAACTTCTCCACCATTCACTGGACCACCAAATGCCGGGGGAACACACCATGTCCAATATTGGACGCGTTGGGGCTCCTTCCTTGTGAAATTTAGGAAGACCATATAATCTCGGAAGGTGTCCACCTGAGGGCTTCAGCTTTTTGAATTCTTTCTTTTTGTCTAGGTTTGCCAGCATCGTTCATCTGAGGCAGCCGGTTAGCTGTTTCTCCAACTCCTCTGTGTTGTCTCTTCCCGTTATGAGTTTCTGGAACTTACACTCATTACTAAGGATGTTTTGCATCTTACATATATAGTCAGTACAATCCATTAACAAGATACCTGAACCATTGTCTGGCCTAGAGATTACCAATTGTTGCTTGAGCGTAGAACTGTAAACGACTACTACTGGATGTTTAGGCCTTAACATATTAGAGACAGTTCTACCATAGGCTAGAGTTTAGGTGCTTAACTCAATAGTTGCATTTTTGCTCTGCAGTTTAAACGTTTGCGTCCAGTGCGAATTCACTCGTCTCACTGGTCTCACTTGGGTTTGCTCAAGCGAAATCTGCTCTACTATTGGTCAGTTCTGGCGACCTAGTGTGTTTGATCGAAGTTATTTTGGCGTAGAGTCGTCAGAACAAATAGTTTAACCTCATTGGACGGTGTATTGATTAGATGTCATGTCACACGAAACTGGTAGGACAGCTGACAATATGGGGTAAGGTGAAAGTGTATGTCAGTCACCGCCTCGCATAGTCCGTTGCTTTATCAATATGAATCGCAGTGGGGCAGCGTGTGAGAGGGGAGTTCACGATCAGTGACCTGGGACAATGTTGTACTTTTAGTGCACCACTGACAATTATATCGTAATGTATAAGCGCTGTGATTTGCAAACCAATATAGCGTTAACGCGACGTGACATTATCCAGCTGTGAGGAAATGTGCCCACATTTCATGCGATCTTCCAAAGCCGTGGAAACGTGAAAAAATGCATGGACAGAAGCGATGTGTATATGCTGCTGGCTTTAAATTGAAAGGTATGGAGTTTGCCGAGCAATCTAATAATTATATGTCTGTACGCCATTTTTCGGTAAATGCAAAGCAAGTAAGAGAATGGCGAAGGGAAAGCCAGAATTGTCAATAATATCTGTATGCACGGGAGAAGCACACAGTAGAAAAAGCATGTTTTTGCACTGGAGGATAAGTTAGGGCAGAGGATTATGGATTCACGGCAAAGCGGGGCATTTGTTACCCGAAAGAAAATTCGGATCAGGGCACTCACAATTTTACAAAGTCCGGAATCCCAGTCAGCAAAACCGGTGAATTTTGTTGCTTCCTCCGGATGGTGCAATCGTTTTATGAATCGATTCGATATGTGTCTAGGAACCTGCACAAAACTTGCTCAGAATCTGCCATAGGAATTGGACAGTAAATTCGAATATTTTCAAATGTTCATGCTTCAGCTAAAAAACAATCCCGCTTTGAACCTTCACAAGCAGGAAATATGGACGAGACGCTTGTTTGTTTTGATTTGGCTTCAAATGGCACGGTGCAGCCGAAAGGTGCTAATACAGTTTGTGTAAATACGACGACACACGAGAAGACACGGTTCACAGTTGTTTAGGATGCATGATGTATGGTTCCAGTCTACCACTTTTCATTATTTTTAATAGTAAGAGGCGGCCTAAAAAAGCGAGATTCCTAAGCGGCGTGTTTGTGCTGGCTAAAGCGAAACGATGGATGAACGGGAGTGGCACTATAGACTGGCTGAATACAGTTTGGGGAAAGCGAAGCGGTGCGCTTTTTTTAAAACATTCTATGCTGGTTTGGGATTCCTTTAGGGCACACCGAACTGAGAACGTGGGGAAACGATGCCATTAACTGAACTCTTCCATATCTTTTATTCCTGGTGGACTTGCATCAACTTTGCAGCCACTGGATGTCTGTATCGATAAGTCATTTGCATAGAGGCTTCGGGCCAGGTGGATTGAATAGATGGTATCTTCTGATTTACCGTTGACGGAGAGTGGCAATGTGGAAAATGTTAACTTTGTTGCAATCGCAGTTTGGGAAGAAGAAGCGTGGCTAGATATTCCATCAGAAATTATCGTGCGATCATTCAAAAAGTGTTGCATCGGTATTGCTCTGGATGGAAGTGAGGACGATGCCATTTTTGAGGAGTACGCCAGTGACGCGAGCAGTGAATTTGAAGATGACGGCATTCACACTGACTTCCAAGTGACAGACGAGCAGTACCAGCAAATACTTGGAGATTCTGACTCGGATTCTAGTTTCGAAGCATTCGAGTAATTTTACTACCCTTTTGCAGTGTTTGGATATCTGAGCCTATAAAATCTACCGGCATGTGCTGTTCTGTCATATCTTTCTCCATTGTTATTGTGTGGGAGAGTGTTCGATTCCGTGTAAGTAGTATGTTTCTGTTACTGCCATCCGTCGCCAATAACAAATGTGCAATATACGGAGAAATTTCTACACAAATATAATATGTCTACCTATAGGCACATCAACTCCCTGCTTGGGATACCGTCTGTCACTAGCGAGTGGTGTTAGGTCGAGATAGGGGCATATGTGTGCAGTGAATTTATGGATGGATATTGCATGTGATTTTTTTTAAATTGCGCATAATCTTTGTATAAGGTAACGCCCAGTACAGACACGGAAAGTTGTCCAAAATTCATTGACTTGTATGCATTAATATACGGTACTTCCATTTACATTCAGGTATTTGTCCCACAGTACTGCCAAATGTATACTGAGACCGTAACTCTGTGCTATCCTGAACCATCTCTTCACAGTGATGCTGTGTTACATGCTGTTGCTTCACATGCCACTTCTTTCATGAAATGGATCAGGCACTGGATTTTTTAAATAGCACTGTCAGAGCATTTCGGTAGACCGTCCCCTCATTGCTTGAATCACAAAGGTCTTAACCAAGGTGGAACAGCTGGTGAGCTGTTGATGTCTCTCTAAACGATAATGTTCATATTGGAAACGTGCTCTAGGCCTGTGTAGCATAGTGTGTTTTTACATAAATGCTCGTTTCGTAGAATCTGGTTTTGTGAGCACCACACACTTGTCTTAGCCACTGAACACACCTTCGCTTGCTGTAGCTGCCTCTTAAAAAGGGAATAGGATATATGACTGTTAGTACATTGGTAACCTTTTGTTTCAACACTAGGGTGTGAAGCAAACGCTTGTAGGCAGATGGGACGTCATCAGGCTGAGCGGACAATGTTACAACCACCTGAATGAGTTAGCAACACACTTTAGATCGAACACATTTGGTGAGACCCTAGTTTTTAGCAGGACACGGTGGGGTGATTAAGTTTTGGTTACCTGCATTTGAATACACCACATTTTTCGAAATGACTTAAAACATTACTAGCCTGTGCTGGTTATTCTTCTGTTGACTGGTCCGCCTAGCTTGATCGACTAGTTGCATATATTTCGCCGCACAATGCATGGCATCCACAGTACGATCATGTGCATTGAACAATCTTGTCTATTGAATCCATGCTTCGGTGATCGACAGACAATTGGCCATTGGACGTGACACCTTCCACTTGCGTCCCGTGATCTATACCCATTTTCCTCTGGGGGCAAGATCACGAGACGCAAATCGAAGGTGTTCCGTTCCAAAAGCAACTGTCTGTCGATTACGGAAAGACGATTCAACAGACATATTTGCCCGACGCACATGACCGCACTACAGATGTCATCCCGTGTGGTTTTGCAATGTAAACAACCATTGAATTATGCTCGGAGAACCAATCAACAGATGAATACATGGTTACAGTGCTGATTGGATTTCAGGTGACGTAATTTATACCAGCTTGGTCGATGCGATTTTATTCTTCTGGAAGTAGCGCATGTATATGTGGATAATGTCTCGCATAAATCCGGATTGGTGTACAGTGCTACGGGTGCTGTTGCAGCTATCACAAGTACTACGTGCTGAAGGTATAGTTCGGTTGGTGACGAAACATACGCAGTCAACTTACTCTTATCGGTGAGCACGCCGACATCTCAGCACCCAACCCGAGATACCAATAGTTTTACTAATTGCGTATGATATAAATTCGTTACGCTGTTTGAGTGATCTTGTGTTATGCCATCATGTTGCGTAAACCGGAACATACTACAAAACATTGCTGCAAACAAGCCCTTTTCTTCCTGTCACATTTGACGCTACAAGGGAATAAGATACATGTTAACACACAATATGGCGCGCTGAATATACGCAGACTGTTAATCCATAAATGGCTGATATGTTTTGGGTTGCGTTTACATGATGGGGCCATAACTTATCTCCGATGTTCTACTGTTGGACCATGTGCACTTCAGAATGATTAGTGTGGACGCGAAGAGATAATGTTGCAGGAAATACTTTCATCCTTTTCTCGCCACTTCACCACTCAGAGCATATCATCGCAGTGTTTCATCGATATACCGTTTCGCCGGTAGAAGGAGTCTTGCACAATCATCACCTTGGCGTTTTCTTTACAACGGCCGGTTGTTCCCATCTTCAGGAATTTATCGTTTCCCCAGCCGTAGTCCATTGAACTCAACACTGGATATCGATACCTCTCTTCCACAGCGGCCAAGTTTCGTTCTTTAAAGTATTTAGCCCTGGATAAAGAGATTCAGTGGAGGCATTCGTTTCATATTCATAGGTATGAAACAACTCAAGTTCACAGGCAGCACGCGTTTCACCGTTTTCCGCCTAACGCGATAATCATTTTAACCATTAGCTATTTTTATACTGCTTACGACACATTATAAGGTGTTCGGGTAAGTAAAGGGTCTTTGACAAATGTATAAAGGCTTGCTTCTTTGCAACATATCTACCTCTTCTTGAAAGTTAAACTGCTTCCCATGGTTTACTACGATGTGCACTAACGCTTTCATGTTTATACCGATACCAATTGAATTCTGTGACTCAGTCGTGGGAATTACATGAGTATTGATGTGGAGTTGTCATTGAGCACCACTACTTCGGTGCTGTATGCTTTCACCACCAAGCAGGGGAAACAGCGTACTTTTGTATTAGCGCAGTGACATGCATTTCGAACTCGTTAATAACTCAGAGACCCAAGTTGTTGACTCGCTATGGTGCCGCTTGCAACTCAGACGTGGTGACACATCTTTGATAGCCATTGTATACCGTCCCCCGGTGTCAGCTGTAGTAACGTGCAACCGTTTACCTAATCCTCTAAAGACTCTACAGTCATGATCTCCTTGTCGGGGGCTTCAACTTACATGCTGTTGAGGTTCCAGACAACCTCGGTGAGCAATTTAATGCCGAACTGCATGAATTAGTCGCTGGCCTATCATGTTAAAAGAACATTACCTCCTTACGAGATTCAGAATAGCGAACAAACCGGCTATCCTTGAGCTTGTGTTTACCAGTGCGAAACATATGATCGACACGGTAACAGGGAGCAACCCGTTGGGACGCAGCGATCATGCGATACAGCTTTTCCAATACGTTTGTTATGCGGAGCACTCCAAAGTGGACAAGGAAGAAATTTTTATTGTAACGCACTATGATATGCTATCCGTCTTCATCGAGACCGCTGCTTGGTTGTTCACAGCTGACGTGACGTCTTTTTGGAGAAACTCGTCAATCTGTTCAGCACGTTGGTAACAACCGCATCAGAGACTACGAAATGCAACTCAAAAATGGCAAAGTCTGCTGTGGAGTCGGACGAGCGAACATATATCTCTGAGAGATTCACTTTGGCAAGTATACAAAGCCAGTCCGAATGTCGAGGAGTGGAAGACCTATATAACCGAGCGAAATCGCTGTGTCAGCCTGATCCGCGAGGACAACTTGAAACATTAACAGGATTTTGCGAATCGCTTCTGCTCCAATCCCAAGCTACTTTACAGTCACGGCAACAAACACTGTAAAGTACAGCGTAGTATCCACTCTTTGAACACCGCATACGGGTAAGCACAAACTGCGAAATAAGCGACCAATGCACTTAAACAACAATCCAGTTGTAATTTCCAGAACTCACTGATATCCCCTACAATTCTTACACCGATCACGCCACTACCAGGAGTTATTCGCATCCCATTTACTGCCGCGGACGTACTGAAACGACTGATGTCGCTGCGTTTGCACAATTCTCCTGATGCAGACAACTTACACCCAAGGCGGCCATCAGCCTGACTGAACCGTTGTCCCCGTTTTTCCAACATTGCATACACAACATGCAGGTCCAGGCCAAGTAGAAGCATGGAGTAGTCACCCTCATTTACAAAACTGGCAAGCGCGCTGAATCGGTAAACTACCGCCCGATAACTCTTCTCCCAATTCTTTCGGCGGACATGGAATCCGTTATTGCGGAGGCTCTCATGGAGGATGAAATATAATGGTACCGGAGCAACATGGTTTCCGCCGAAATCCCTTATGTACCAAGAGCCTCATGTTAGCCCTTGCCAGCTAGACGGAATCTGCCGACGTTGAAGGGGAGTTGACGCTATGTACATCGATTTCCCGAAAACATTTGATCGTTTTGACCACAACATCATCTCAAGCTTCTGAGCTGTGGAATCGGCGACTTCATCCTGGGTTGAATACGTCGCCCAAATGTGAGAGTTCATAGCGCTTTATCTGACCTGACAGAGGTTCAAAGTGACATCTCACAATGCTCGGTTCTAGGACTAATGTTTTTCCTAGTCTTCAGTAACGACCACGTGCGACTGATGGATTCAAATGTTTTACCCTTCGCAGATGATCTCAAAGCTTTGCGGACTATCAAGCCAATAAAGCACCACGTGACACTACAAACTGATCTCGATATGGCTCACGATTGGTCAGTTCAGAACATGCTGCAGTTCACTGCTGCCAAATGTCGTGTACTTAGGATATGCGACCAGTGAACTTAAGCATGCCGGCTAGGAGAAGACCTTTTGCAATGTGTCTCTCATGCAATGATGGAGTGCTCGTAAAGGCCGATCTCGGTTTCACAAAAGAGGCTGCAGAAGCGCAAGGAAAGCCAATCACCACTTGGGTATCCTGCGGAGAGCGTTTGGCCTGTTTGATCCCAACATCTTTTCACAAGTGCTCAACGCTTACGTGAGGCCACATATTGAGTACTCCATCCAGGTATAGCACTCCGGGCAAACGTGTGATCTTGATTTTCTTGAGACTCCACAAACAAGATCAATAATGTTGTTAAAGGCCCGAGGCGTGTTTCTCACTTTCAATTAACATGTATTGAATGAAGGAATGAATGAAGGGCCTGACCTATCTCCCTTACCAACATGGACTACAGACTCTAGGAGTTTTCGGTGGTCAATACCATCGTCTGCGCGGTTATGTTATTTTGATGTTTAAGATTCTAAAGGCTCCAAAACACACTGGTCTACACTTAATGAAACTAAGTCACAACACCTCACTCCGGGGCCATTACTTGCAGTTAGCCACACAGTACAGCTGGCTAGAATTCCGCCGGCATTTTTACTCACTTCGGGTGTCCCGGTGGTGGAACTCTTGTTCAACTATCGTCATCACCGCTTCTACTTTGACACATTACTCAACTTGAGGAAATATTACACCACCTGCACTACAAGACTTAAACAATGTTACTGAAACACATAATGGCATAACTACAAGAAACTTCTGTGAGTCCACCGCTATGTGTTACTTTGTTTTGTTGACACATTCATGCCCTTTTTTCACTCTTTACCTGCGGGAATTGGGAAGTTTCACTTTTATCAGTAATAAATCCATTTATCCATCGCTTGATTCACTTCTTCGTTAGCTGTTTTATTCGACTTCACACTCCGTCTCCTCCATTCACCGATTAGTTTTTCAGATCTGTAACGTGCTGTACTAATTTCTCCACTCTTGTTAGCATAGTTTCCGAGCGGCAGTTAGGTTGATCCCTCAGAGCACCAGCGTATTACCATGTGCTTATAAATTTCTGACACCTACTCACTATCTACCGCACCAAGCAAGCATTTATGTTTGACTTGTCTTCATATGCAGATTTTAGTCTGTATTATCTACTTTTTCACATTTCACAAAATCTAGTTTTCGATTATGCTGGTCAGCATCTTCACTCTGATTATATAAGCTACGATGCAAATATATTTGTCCTACGATGCTTTAGGGAGGATTAAACCAAATTAAATGCGTTTTGAAAATTTTGTTAATGGTTTGCATCCCTTATAATAGTAACAGCCTCTGTTGTGCCCAGTCGGAGGAGAACATACATAGTGGTAGGTACAGCGTTTTTGTGTAAACGGCCTACTTCGCTCATTTAGATGGACAATGTGGACCCGGTTAGATCATAAACCCTCTGAGTCAAAAGAGTAGAGACTTGGGAACAATTGGTTTACTTATTTGCCGAGCAGATTCAAGTCAAGTGAACCAGCACACAATTAAAGCGGAATTTAATGGCGAACAGAGACAACAGTTGCGATAGGTGAGATATGAGCCAAGGGATTCTTACAGTCATATATCTGGATGACTCATCAACTTGTTTAGCCACAGTTAGAATGGTCTATGTGTTCCCTCGTGCATCATAGCATTAATGGTTTAGCCCTTGGTAGTGACTCAGGGGACTCGAAGTTCACTTGTTACCCTGATCTGTGCATCGACGCTCATTAAACTGGTCGGATAAGGACGGATCACCAGGAATTTGGTAGTCCTATTGTTGCAGCTGTTGAATTTGGTAACTTTCAGCGCCAGGGCAATCATTCTCTACGGAATTGATTGCAAACCTCTGCTAATGACCTCCATATTATCCCAATCGATTTAGTACCAGAATTGAACGCATGCACAATCATAACCGAGTCCTTTGGTAACGCCCTGTTTTCAAACCCGTTCCCAGATGGTCGTAAAATGCGCCTTTCGATTTCTGGAATCCGTGTGCGTTTCAAGGTTTAGATGCGGATATGCGATTGGCTGTCCAGTCCTTAGGAAGAAATACTGCAGATAAACCAATGCTGAACATAATTCTTGTTCCGCTAGAATTTCCCTCTTATATTCTGCATTCTCAATACCCTCCGATATGCCTTCAACGTTTCTTTTCCTGTACAGAATTTATACCGTTCCCATCCAATCCGTCGAACATCCTGACTGGGGTTTTAACACGTTCTGTAACTATCATTTGACTAACCGCCGCAGGTAACCACTATCCAACAGCTTACTCCTCGTCTATTTCCCCCAACTCCTTTTAATTTTCGATCGTGCGAAGGGCTTGTCCTCAGTAGAACCGTGCTGAAGCTATGCCAACCTAAATGTGTTTCGGATGATTCGAAGTGAATTGCAAAATTCCATCGGTATCAGTCGGTTTACGGTATTTCTGTTTTTCAAAGTACTTTCATTTCTGTGAACTAAGCACTCAAAAATGGTATTGTACTAATCCAAGATTCCAACTGCATAGTAGATTTTAGCAACTCTTCTTCTTATCCTGGTTTCCGATCACATAAGTGTGGCCTTAGCGCCACCAAAACTTACCGGTGTTTGTTAACGACCTGTTCGCCAACACAGGGGATATTTTTTTTATCCCAAGACCAGACTACGTCCCAGCTTCGACTGGAAAACGAAGAACATATAGGGGTATACTGTCATAACCCTAAATATTGGGTCAAGTGTAAGTTTGTTCCTGTCACCCGGCGTGCTATATGCATCTAGACAGCGCATTGGTATTCTTAAGGCCTCTACTTTGAACAACATAGTAAAAAGTGAGGCTACATCGAAACTTGCCATTAATTCGTTCGGCTCGATAGTGAGCCTTGCTATCATTTTGGCGAACCCGTAGATCTTCACGAACGTATAATTTGCCCTCTCAATGGTCGCAATAACGCTGCTTTCATGAGCCGGAGAGCCTAAATTATCGACTAAGAGCCGTATTGGAAAGTTGAGTTTACGTATTTATGACAAACCATAAGCTCTTAGGCCGATTTTTGGTATAGGCTATAACATTTGCAAATTCCTACATCGTCCTTAACCTTTATTGAATAATTACCAACCTCTGTATTGTTAAGCTTTTTTCCTCATTTACGTCTTAGCGGCCTGTCTTCAAATGCTGTTCAATTTTCCGGATAATCTGACTAGTTCATTACAGACATTGCTATTCCATTAATGGCTTTTGTGACCAAAATACTTCGTTCCTCCTTAAAGGACTTCAATGCGATAATTTTAGTTCGTGCTTGACCCGGTTTCCCCCTTTTTAGGAACTTGTCGATATTCATTAATTGTGCACGGATATTCTCCGTTTTTACGGTGCGTAACTTCGTTACCACACTTGCAACACTAGTGATAATCTCTTCTGCAAACCACTTAGCTTCATTCACATTAAAATCAAACTCTTTTCCAGCAATCCACACTGTTTCATTCAATAAATGGACAGACGTATTAACTACATTATCAAAGTTACCATCAAATCTTGGCTTACAAGTAGGGCTGGTGGTCCTTTACTGCAAGTCAGTAAAGGATCGAAATTAAAAAATTGCCTGCTCCAAGTAGTCCTCCTTTTCCAAATAACTTAACACCTGGACCATTGAAACTGTGGCTGAGAATTTTGATATGGCATTCTGACCTGTGACTGCAATGACCAGCTGTATCATGTCCATCCTATCTCCACTGTTGTTTCACCATAGAAGGCTGATCCGATTGCACACTGCGTCACCTGGCTTGAGGAAGCTTATGTGTCAAGAGCGAAGCACTGCCTGGCAAGTACGCCAAACATTTGTTCCCAGATCTCTCAGAAATCATGTCCTCTCTATCTTTTTCATATGTGTCCCACGATGTTACAGCTCCATAAACATATTAATCGGTTAAGACGTCACCATGATTGCGTTGCACGTGAGCGAACACAAGCTATCCCTCTAGTGCTGACGAAGCACCTAAGCTACATTCCATGACGCAATGACGCAATGTGACTTACATAGCTCCTTATTTTATTGTGCAATTCTACTCCTAATGGACAATTTTCTTGTATCTCTAATCTCTGCATGATCTTTATTATTTGCAATTATTTTGGTTCGAATATACTGTGAGTGTATGCAATCCTTGACTAGCATCGATGGGTGTGAATTGGAATTGCGATAATAAATCATTGTTATTCTTCTTGCCATCGGTTAAGTGCTGGTTTTTCTTTTACTCACACTGTTAGTAGGTGACCAAGGTTGTGCTACTTTTGTGAGTTCCTAGAAGTCCACCTACCTGCCGCGCCCCTCTCTCGATATCCCGTCGTACAGGAGCTGCAATGTTTTACCGTCGGGAGGTATCATCTCACTTTCAAATACCGATTTAGCGGTATCAGACGATTTACGTTCACATTCAAGAGATTTTGCTTTCTTAAGCGTCATTGGATGTTCCAATTTCCTTAATTCAGGCCGGATCGGAACTTCAGCCACATTTGTCGTCCGAGTTTCCGATATTTGCGCTCCATCCGGTTTATTTTTGGCTTGTATATTTCTCCAGAACCATGCAATTTGTGTTTTTAGTTCCTTTTCGTACAGCTCCTCTAATATTCGCTGTCCCCGGGTGTCCGCAGGGAATTTTCTCGCCATTTCATATGAGATTCCTGGTATGTTCTGTGAACCTTAGCTGTACTCAATGTGGTATCGTTGCAACTGCTCTTTGATTGATGCAAGTTCCTTTCAAGTCCATTAAATAGTGTCTAATCTTCTTCCAATCGGAGTGCCCTTGATCACGTGTCATAGCTACGCACAACCAGATCACCTAACAACCGTTGCCAGTGGATGTGGTGGTGACGCCCCTACTCATTAGCATTTGTTTAATGGTTCATTCTGGAGACTTACTCAGCCGACCAGTAGAGCATGTGTGCTCTGGCGTTCCAGCCGACGAAGCCTTTTTAATTATATCTATTTATTTTCTCACAAATGTGCTTTAGTGCTCCTGTCAAGTTGTGTAAATTGGGTTCAACTGCAACCTACTAAATCTTGACAAATACACTTAATTGGTGTCAGAGCCACTCAGATGTCGCTGTTTTCTCTTGTTCGAACATATTTTACTTTATCCACACCAACCATCGGTTTTCAACATTTATTTCCTCAGCCTAGTTTGTTTTAACGTCGATTAAATTCCAGCTAACATAGAGTGAAGCTCGATAGTGCGAGAGTCGGTTTCCTCATTGAGACAGACCAACATGTACTCTTTATGTTTATTGTAAGTGAGTAAACATCAATAAGTTAGATAATGTTCAAATGACGCATAAGCTTCGCTGTCCACAAACATACCAACTGTTTGCGCTGCACTAGCAAACCACCGTGGAAAGGGCTGGCGTATGAGTATTTCTGCCCGATTAAGTTAGCATGCATGTGGTTAATTACGAATGTAAACAGTGGTCGGATTAGCTAACGGTGCAGTTGTGCTCAAGTAGGGTTCTCAACATCTTTGTACCGTTCTTCAAGTGTATGTATCTGCCTTGCTGATAAGCCTTGAAAGAATAGCAACCTTGTCCACTGGTTTACATACTGCTTAGTTATCTTTGACTGGGATGAGTTGTTGTGGAGTTAATACCACTTTGTGATGTTTGTCTGTACATAGTAATTGAGTGACAACTATTAAATTAGCTGTTATTTCAGATGCTTACGCTTCTTCGTATCCTACTGTCTTCGATTTGCTTCTATTCAGTTCATTTCTGCTCCTTTGCTCCAAGCGCCAATGTTGTTTCTTCAGTTATCCTGATTCAGCATAGTAACATAATTCAAAGCCAGCTGGAAAAGGTTTAAGCTAATTGAAACGTAGGATCAGGAGATTGACATAAAGAACGAAAGGTAAGCCGAAAAGTAAGCCGAGCGTTCATAGTCTCCTCTGTTTTCAACCATTTTTCCGCTGACCTCGTGACACCACCATTGCAAAAGCACACACGGTTGGAAGCACTACTCATTCAGTCAAAGCGAAAGCATTTAACGTGTGTTGAGCTAGTAGCCTTATAAGCATACAAGACTCAGGGATCTTCCTGAGTATGCAATTAAGTTACAATATATGACCTTGCGCAGTACGGGGACTCGGTTGACGATCGTCAGGTTGCGTGCCCCGACATTGCTCACTAAGTATTTCCACCCACCGATGATCACGTTCGAGGAGACTCTTAACCACCTAAAGTGAATTGGCCGTTTCCTAGCTAAGTACATAGGTGCCTGTCATGCTGAAGCGTCATATAACCGGTGTTCCACCTATAATGGATGCGCGACCTAGTCTGTGGGTGATAAGATATGAAAATGCACTCGGGCATAACATATTTGGCGATTCCGCCGCTAGTTACAACACAACTTGCCGGAAATCTTCCGACTAACTACCGGGAGTAACCATTAACGACTGCCGGGGGCGGCAGTGTCTTGCATCTTGATGGCGTAGAGTGTGTCGAGGTGTTCTTAGTCAAATCAATCAGTTCTGCCTACAAATGGGTCTGGTATGGATCCAACAAGTTTGGATTATCTATATATTCCGACATACAGATGGTTGTCTCGTAGAGCACTTAGTAGCAGCGTCCACCAAGACAGCGCAGCCATTAGTCACTAGCTTATTAACTTCGGTAGGAAGTGGATTAGACGATGGGTAAGGCAAATGGCTTGTCTGTGCTGTCATAAGAAAGGATTTCCAAGGATGTTTACATGGTCTAAGAGATGAAACTAAAGCTGATCGAATATAGAGCGAGACATGTTCGACCAACTTTACATTGACAACACTTTAAACACCAATTCCCCTTTAATCCACTTACAACGAAGCCAGAAGAGAAGTTTGCCATATGTTATCACCAATACATTTTGGCAGTCGCACAGCGATACTTGCATGAAAGCTTATATGGTGATTGGTGCATATTGCACAATCAGATTCACCACTTTCTACTAGATTGCCCCAGCTGTTTTTACGCACAGAATGTCGGATAATTCATCATTAAGAATAGTGCCACAACAAGTATAAACATTTTCGAGTTTCTGTCACGCAATGCAACCTTTGCGCGTTTATGTTACCTATCTGGTGAAGAGTCAACCTGCGGTGCTTGGTAGTGTTTTGATATATCCCTTGATCCACGCCAAGTTGTAACTGTAACTACCTCTATCGATACCGGATGCGCTTAGCGACATCTTAAGCCAGTTGATGATCAGCACTGGCTATGCATGTGTCACCGTAAAAGGAAATGAGTTGATAAATACCATGAGAGGCGGAGTCAATTATTGAACAGCGCTACGGAGTTGAAATCAATCTTTCGTGTGACGTGACGGAGTCGCGGATGTGCGATCATGTAAGCGCGCAATAAGGTAAATCTAAGTCTGTACTCAAATTGGTTTAAAGAAAATTCCAATCAAAATGTGGAAGTGAAAGCATGCTTCTGGTAGTTAGTCAGCATATCTGTAGTTTCCGGTTGGGATGAAGATTTCAGTTCTTTTCTTAATCGAGCATTTCAACTACAGATGATCTGCAAACAGACAAGGCAAATCATCAGCTCAATTTCCAGCAAGTGATTTACCAATACCCTTGACTTTTCTTATTTCCGATCAGAGGTCAAGATTTGGCTTCCATATACTTCATAAACACTTGAATTGCATGAGTGGCTTGTGGGCTGACTTAGTACCCATCCATTCATCCATCACGTTCACTTCCGTGATGACTAAGCTGCCTAAACCTGGGGGCGAAGTCTGCTTTGTAATGAATAGGGGAGGTGAGGATTCACTTTGGAAAGTGCGTGTAAATTGTTGCCGAAAAACGTTCGCCGTATCTCATGTATTGAGCGCCGGAGTATTTGCTGCACCTAGAACTGGGATTCCGCGCTGCACCCTGCGGAACTTGTTTATTTGCCTGTAGAGTATTTTAGGATTAGTAGTGAATTTCGTCACTAAGCCTTGAAGATGTTTTTGTTTGTTTTCGTGGAGGAATTTGGCACAATGATTTCGTTGAGTTATGTAGACATCCCAGGTCTGGGTACCTGGACAGGGTTTATAAGCATGCAGGACCATGCTTTTTCGTGTCTGACTCCTCAGGAAGGCCTTTATTTGCTTCAGGTGGAAGACTTTGTTTTCAGACTAATTGCCACTAGCCCAGTAACCTGGGTGACAACTTTCTCCCAGGCGACCTTGGGAGGCTGTTCGGCTAGGTAAGACCAGATGGTTTCTTTAACAGGTTAACTCAATGAACCGTAATTCGTGACGACGTCCACTTTCACGCTGTTTTTACGGATGTATTCCATGTAGCAGATGTAATGGAAGGGCAGTACAGCATGATCGCTACTACCAAGCGGTGCGCCTATGGTTACGGTACTGACTATTATTTCCTCGTTGGTGAGCACAAGGTGCAAGACAAATCGTTTATCGTTAGTTCTGAATCTCCTGGGACTGGTGGTATGGTTTCAGAGCGGTACATCAGCGATTACTTCATGCAAGTCCGCTTTGAATTATTCGCTGAGCATAGCTGGGGCTTTGGTTGCGTGCAGATTGAAGTCCCCCACCAAGTGGACGTGACGGTATAACCGTGTCAGGATTTTTCTTATAAAAAAGCCAAGCAGTTATTGATCTTCCAACTGGACACCTGAGTGCGCTGAACTACAGCTAGTAAACGCACGTTACCTTGTTATAGATGCTTTTGGCACTGAAAAGAACCGACGACTTGCTTATCTTAATCGCTGAGAATGTTGATGTTCAGGTGAGATTGCTAATACAGGATTACGTCGCGTCACCTGTTTGGTCGATCTTTTCCTGGGATAATCATACTGGGCATAGCGATCTCGGCATCAGTGCTCCCAGTAAATGGCCATGTTTTGGTTACCTTGAGGAACTCCTAAAGCGTTGAAGGCTAACGGGAATGAAGCTCAGTTAACGCGCTGGGAAGATCTTGACCTTTTGTTCACAAGCAGGAAACAGGATCAGATGTTTGAAGCACATTTGTTGGTGCAGATTTCTGATGTGGGTTTATGCAAACACTTGTGGCGTCGGCTGCCAGTCGTTTCATTTCCAGACTCTGACGTATGTCCAGCGTCCATTCCGGTTTGGTGTGTAGAATGCATGGTGTCTGCAGATGGCTGATTAACAAAACATCATACAACGGTCGCAGTGGTATGACCTTATCTCGTTACGAAACGCATATTGACGGAGTCGTGCACGTGGTCTACCTGTTCCATGTTGTCTTCTCTATTTGCGGCGGGGAGCCCATGGTCTTTACACATATTTCAGATAACACGTGCTTATGCATTTTGCATCATATTTTGATCCTTTTTCATCCATTCGCTTAGATTGTAATTTCACTTCTATCAACCGAGGATCGCACTCTCTATATTTGAGTGCTAATAGAAACGTTAAGGCTGCATTAGCAATTATGTTTTCGAAAGAGGACACTTAACAGGTGAAGCGCCATTCATCCTAGCCATGTGCTTGTGCTTCTAGTGCGTTTGAAGCTCTTATCTCATGGACACCGTGAATGGGGATCGATTGTACTTCTTTTTGTTTACAGTAGTTATCTGGATGTTGCTGCGTTCCTGGTTATCGCTCCAAGGAACAGCTTGTAAAGTGTGAGCAATGCATGGTGTACTTCGAAGTCCAGTCTCCTTCAAGAGTTTGGCTTCGGTATCACCTTCTGACTGAAGCGTTACTTGTAGTACACTTGATTCACTGTTGTGTTGAGTTTAGATGACGGATGGCACGCGTCATACTGGCCGTT